AAGGCCAGAGGGCCCCCATTAGCTCGGGGGAGCTGGCCGAGCTAGTTCAGGGGTTCAGCGGGGTAAAAGGAAGGCAGGACAGGCCAGGAGGCCCCAAGAGCTCAGGGGAGCTGGCAGAGCTAATTCAGGGGTTCAGCGGAGTAAACGGAGAGCAGGGAAGGCCAGGGGGCCCCTAGGAGTTCTGGGGAGCTGGCAGAGCTAGTTCAGGGGTACACTGGGGTAACAGGAGGGCAGGGAAGGCCGGGGATCCCAGGCGCTCCAGGGAGCAAGCAGAGCTAGTTCAGGGGTGCCGTGGAGCAATGGGCGGGCTGAGCAGGCCAGGAGCTTCCCAGGAATTCGGGGACCTGGCAGAACTAGTTCAGGTGTGCAGTGGGTGTAACGGGAAGCCAGGACAGGGCAGGGGGCTCCCCAAGCTAGGGGAATAGGCAGAACTAGTATATAGAGGTGCATTGTGGTAATAAGAGGGCAGAGAGGCCAGGGGATTCCCCAGAAATTCAGGGAAGTTGGAAGAGCTAGTTCAGGGTGCATTCGGGTAACAGAAGGGCTGGGAATGCCAGGGGGTCCCTAGAAGCTCGGGGCAGCTAGCAGGGCTTCAGGGGGCAGTGAGGTAACGGGAAGGAAGGAAATATCTGGCGTTACCCTGGACCTCAGGCTAGCTGGCAGAGCTAGTTCAGGGGTTCAGTGGGGTAAAAGGAGGGCAGGACAGACCAGGGGGCTCCCAGGAGCTCGGGGGAGCTGGCAGAGCTAGTTCAGAGGTGCAGTGGGTAATAGGAGGGCAGTGAAGGCCAGGGCATAGCCAGGAACTCAGGGGAGCAGGCAGTTAGTTCAGGGGTGCAGTGGGGCGACAGGAGGGCAGGGCAGGCCAAGAGCTCCCCCATGAGTGAGGGGAGCTAGCAGAACTACTCAGGATGCCATGTGGTAACATGATGGTAGGATGACCATGGGTTACCCAGAAACTCAGGGGAGTAGGCAGGGATAGTTCAGGGCTGCAGGGGGATAACAGGAGAGTAGAAAGGCCAGGGGGTCCCCTGGGGCTCAGGTAAGAGGCAGAGCTAGTTCAGAGGTTCAGTGGGGTTACACGAGGGCAGGACAAGCCAGGAGCTCCCCAGAAGCTCAGGGGAGCGGCATGGCTAGTTTCGGAGTGCAACGGGCTGGCAGAAGGGCAGGGAAGGCCAGGGGATCCCCAGAAGCTCAGAGGATCAGGCAGAGCTAATTCAGTGGTACAGCGGGGTAACAAGAGGGCAGGGCAGGCCAGGAGCTCCCAGGAGTTCGGGGGAGCTGGCAGAACTACTTCAGGGTACTGTGGGGTAACAGGATGGCAGGATGGCCATGGGTTACCCAGAAGCTCAGAGGAGCAGAAAGGGCTATTTCAGGGTGCAGTGGGGTAACAGGAGGGCTCCTGGAGTTTGGCAGAGTAGGCAGAACTAATTTAGGGGTACAGTGGGGTAACAGGAGGGCAGGAAAAGCCAGGGGATCCCCTGGAGCTCAGGGAGCAGGCTGAGCTTGTTCCGGGGCAGTGCTATGACTGTAGGCATTTCAGGGTCCCTACAGTGTGGGGAGAATAGGTTGAGCCATCTTGGTGGGGTGCAGGAGTGAGCGCAGCTCCTGCCTGAGGACACATGACCGCTGCACCAGCATGGGGGCCCGCAGGCCCGGCACATGTGGCAGGTGTGGCACCATGAGAGGGACACTGAAGGGCGGCTCTGACGGGAGCCTCCGAGGGGTGCGGGTCCCCCAGCCGGGGTCAGCAGGAGCACCCAGTCCGGCTTCCTGGGTCTGCGCGTGGCGCCGCCAGGGCTGGGGTGCAGCCAGGCCAGGCGCTCGGCACCGGGACAGACAGGGCCCGGGCAGGAAGGAGGCGAGGGACGCGTCTGTCCACCCTTGAGGCCCTGCAGCAGGGCTTGTGGGAGGGCCAGCAGGAGGGGCCAGAGCGTGGCCGTGGCCGTGGCCGTGCTGGGCCCTGGACGCGGGCGGGTAGCTCGGGGCGGGGTCCCCGTCCCAGTGCACAAGGGGCTGGCCGGGCAGCAGCAGGACTGGCAGCCGCAGGAGGAGTCCAGAGGGGCCGGCCCCCCGCCCTTACCCAGGCCCCAGGCAGCGGAGGTGGGCGCGGCCAGCTGTGGGGCAAGGGGGCATGGGGGGCCCGGCCTCACTACACCTCTCTCTCGCAGCCACCACCACGGCGCCCAAGGTCTTCCCGCTGGTTCCCGCTTGCGGGACCTCGGCCGGCTCCACAGTGGCCCTGGGGTGCCTGGTGTCCAGCTACTTCCCTGAGCCCGTGGTCGTGTCCTGGAAGGGGGGCTCCCTGGCCGGAGACCAGCGCATCTTCCCGGCCGTGCAGCAGTCCTCTGGCCTCTACACCCAAAGCAGCATGGTGACCGTGCCAGCCAGCTCGTCCAGCAACACCTACACCTGCAGCGTCTCCCACCCGGCCAGCAGCACCAAGGTGGAGAAGGCCGTCGGTAAGGGGACAGGCTCGGAGAGGCCGCAGGCCCGATGGGCTCAAACCTCGACCGGCCGGGCGTGGCCACCAAGGGCCTCCCCCAGCCCGGCGGGCCTGCCCCCCACCCCCCAGGGTGGCGGCCGCAGCCCCAGTAACCCCCTCTCTGTTCACAGTGCCGGGGACCCCCTCGCCAAACCCTGAGTGCAAGCCAAACTGCCAGTGCAATGGTGAGTTGAGGGGCCTCACCCCGCTGGGTCAGCCGGGCTTGGGTGGGGGACACCAGGCCACAGGGACTGACGTCGCTGTCTCCGCAAGATCCAGGGTTGCTGGCGGGGCCCTCCGTCTTCATCTTCCCCCCGAAACCCAAGGACACCCTCATGATCTCCCTGACGCCTGAGGTCACGTGCGTGGTGGTGGACGTGAGCGCCGAGAGCCCCGATGTCAAGTTCAGCTGGTACATGAACAACGAGGAGGTGCAGGGCGCCCAGACCCAGCACCAGGAGGAGCAGTACAACAGCACCCTGCGCGTGGTCAGCACCCTGCCCGTGGCGCACCGGGACTGGCTGGCCGGGAAGCAGTTCAAGTGCAAGGTCACCAACGACGAGCTCCCGGGCCCGGTGGAGAGGG